CGTCCAAGAATTGTGATACATTATTTTATTTTATAAGTCACAAGAACGATTTTTGACAAAAGGATTTAAAGCGATGCTATATGCATGTAATATAACATATCCAAATTTGTGAGTGTAAAAAATAAAATAAAAATAAGGAAATGAGTCTCTCTTGAGTTTTAGCGAGATTAACGGATACCAATTGATTTTTACATAAAGAGATTGCGATAGTGCGTGTTTCTGCCAAATAATCTACGACTAGGGCTTAAGACACCTAGTGTTCATATTTATATACTTATGCATAATGCGTAAATATGTGCGGACGAGTTTAGTATCACAACACTTTAAGCGACGCCGTTCCACTACAATGTAACAATGAACAAGATAAGATTTCTGCTGCAAAATGTATTTCATATAATGTTCTGTATTTTATTTTATATAAAATTCATTTCATATGGAATTCCATAAACAGGACTCGAACATTTTGTAAGGCATTGTCAACGATTGCTTTTCTTTGGGTTTGTGTTCACCTACCTTTGTGAACCCTTTTTTGTAGGAGCATTGCTATAACCTATTTCCCAGGCCATAAAAATAAACGAAGATATTGGTAGTATTTGCGATAAGGTGAGCATGGTTTTGGCTTGGTTTTTGCATGGTTTTCTTGAATGTACGCAGCGCTCAGTTTTTCAGGATGCAAGAGAAATCGGAAAGATTTCTATGGGAGGCACAAAGCGGATTTAGACCTGGAAAAGGATGCACGGATCAAATGTTTTCTCTCCGCATGATCACGGAAAAGCTTCTGGCTGCTAACCAGAAGATGTTCTGTGCTTTTGTGGATCTTGAGAAAGCATTTGATAAGGTTGTAAGGAAGAAAATGTGGGAACTGTTGCCGGGGTATGGTGTGGATGGTCGATTGCTAAGGGCTGTGCAGTCTCTTTACTGTGACTGTAAAGCCTGTGTGCGGGTAGGGCATGACCTGTCACCCATGTTTAGCGTCCAAACGGGCGTAAAGCAGGGTTGTGTCATGTCTTCCTGGCTGTTCATACTGTATCTCGACAGCTGTTTACAAAAGCTGAAAGATAGCTGTTTGGGTGTGAAATTGGGTGACATTAAAGTAAATTGTCTGTAGTATGCTGATGATGCAGTGCTTATTGCACCAGAGGCAGAACTGCAGGCATTAGTCACGTGTATGAAAGAGGAATGTGAAATTAAAGGTCTCCGTTTGAACGCTAATAAAACTAAGGTTCTGGTATTTGAAAGGGACGAAGAGAGAACGAAGTGTGAAATATGGGTAAATCACGAATGTCTAGAACAAGTAAATGAAATTGTATACTTGGGGAGTGCTTTTAGCCGGGATGGAAGATGTGATTTAGATGTGGACAGGCGTGTCGCTGCCGGGAACAAAGTCAATGGTGCCCTGACTGCGTTAGTCAAAAGGCAAGGCGTAGTGAAGAGTGCACGCCTTGCAATACATAACGCAGTGTTGGTACCGACTTTGTTATATGGCAGCGAAACCTGGGTATGCCAGAAGAAGCATAAAAGCAAGTTGAATGCAGTGGAGATGCGATCTCTTCGTAAAATGTGCGGCGTTACCATGGCCGACCGAAAGCGAAACGAAGAGATTCGCAATATGGCAGGTTTGAAAGATGACCTTATCACAAAAATCGATAAGGGCGTGCTTCGGTGGTTTGGGCACGTTGAGCGAATGAGTGAAGACCGAATGGTGAAGAAAATATATAGCGCGAAAGTTAATATTAAAAGGTGTCGAGGTAGACCGAGACTAACTTTCGAAGACCACGTGAGCAAATTGCTCGAAGAGGGTAGGGTCAAGAGTACTCGGATACCTAGACGTGCATGTATGAAGAAGATAATGAATCTGAAAGAAGCGAAAGAGGTATGTAAGGATCGTGACACTTGGCGATCTGTTCTCTCTGGCTACCCCGTCAGGGATTGTGCGTGAAGATAAGTAAGTAAGTAAGTAAGCTCAGTTTTTCTTTCTTTGTTGGTATGATTGTAAAATTAATGATAGTTGGAGCATTATTAATTTTACAAGTATTAAATAAAGTTTATTCCCCTCTAAAATCCCTCTCAGAAATGAGAGGAGGCCTGCAGGCTGTAGCTTTAACATTAACTTTAACTTGTTAGTTGGCGAAACTTTGCAATCCCATTTGGTATCTGGCATGATAATAATGTTCATCTTATTTGTAAATTTGAGAGTGAGGAGTGGATTTAGAATTATTACAAAATAATTTTGTAAATGACGACACGAGCACGAGTGCGCTCGCGGCTGAATTACCGTACATATACCGATTGTATGTGTATGTGTGAGTGAGGGTTCTATTTTATTTAAATCAAAAATAAAACAGGTTAATGTTTGCTTTTACACGTTATTTAATCGTTTTATTTTTATTCGTATGTGAGTTATGATATCTTATCTCGGGAATCAACTAGCTCTGGAGGTAAGCAGTTATTTTAGAATTTTACTAAAAGTTCCTCCACGTTTTCTTTCCAGAACTGGTCATCTCCGTCGCCTATCCACAGGCAAATAATACACATATTTTGAACAATTCGGAATTGACCCTGAACTTGCCATTAGCTTTTTATTGACTGTGAAAACGTCAGATTTATACAACCAAAAGTCAATTTTATTTTGTTTGCTTGCTTCTTCAGGTTCAGAACCAGTGAAAGAACCAAATTCATATTTAACATCTGGACTAGCACACAGAAATGAGATTTTGTGATATATATGTAAACTACAGTCATGTATTTCAAGCCCTTTCTAATTCTGGGGACGCTTACGCTCGTTGTTCTTGCTATTTTGTAAAGATAGCACATTGCTTAAATCGTAGCCACACAGTAATTGCTTAACAACTGTGCTCCCCCAGTTGGTATTTTGAAGCCGCATGCAATGTTTGGCAAACCATGAAGCTGTCAACTTTTCTTCTTGTTTTTAAGAACAAGTTTGCACTCTGTAAAATAGTGCTCCTTTGAATAAAGTTTTTCTGTTCTGGGGACTTCACCAACTGTAATATAAGGTCAAGTATTTATATGCATAGGTCCGTAGTCCGACAAATACCTTTTACCTGTTGAACCCACAAAATTTCTTGAATGACTTAGCCCGGTAGCTCATTTCATTTGTTTTTTGATCTGAAACATGTGACAGAATATTAATTTTTCACCCCACAGTACATGACTTCTTTACTGTGCTGGTCAAGAATCGCAGCGTTACAGGAAGCATCGTAGCTTGTGCCGTATGAACGTTTACTCAAAATACGTCTGCAATCTCGGCTATCATTGGTATTCCTCGAGATGACATATTTCTAACGAGTTTAACATGGTCCACCTCTACTTTTCTAGCCTTAACCATGCAATGCTTCACCGTTTGTTTCCACCATTGGCAAACTTAATTACGCGTTGCTTTATACAACCGCAGAGATCCAGCACCAGTAGATATAATTCCTGCTATAACTTTCTGACGGCGATAATAATATGGACATACCATTTTATTATCGCTTTAGGGTACTTTTTCGAACTTTAAATGCTCAACAAACATTTTTCCAATAAGTTCAGCATTTTAATGACGGCCAGCTCTTTTTTATTTATTTATCCTTCTTCTATATTTTGGCTTACATTTTTTAACTACACATTTTAGCTCCTGTCGTTAAAAAAGACAACATTAGTACCTAAAGTAAAATAATAAAACAAAATCTCAATACTTTTAACTTTTTCCGTTCTTACCTCATCAGCACTTGGGATTTTCATACTTTGCCTGAAACCATAAACTAGTAAGCACACAAACCTTTTTATGTATGTGTAATCTATACTAATATAATAAAGCGGAAGAGTTTTTATGTTTTTTTGTTTGTTTAAACCGCGCTAATCTCTGGAACTACCAGTCCGATTTGAAAAATTATTTTTGTATATTATAGCCATATTCATGTGGAATAGTATAGGCTATCTATAGCCATAATTTGGTATTTTGTGACAAAAAATTATTGAAAATTTAAAAGTGATTTATGAGCGTTATTATTAGGCATGGTCTATTTATCCTTACGTATGAAAGTTACTTCATCATCAAGACAATTTTATGAAGATAAATTTTGTTCATTACACCATGTTATTTGGACGCATAGTTTAAGAGATAATGTAATATTAAAATAATTCAATACTTAGCTGGGCGCGCGAACGACGCTTAAACCCTAGCCGTTATAAAATGCTTGAACTAGGTCATATCGCGCACCTCGGACACGTGATGATGCGGGTGAAACCGCGGGGCACAGCTAGTCATGCATAATTAACTAGCTAGTATAAGATAAATTTACCAAACTTTTAACTAAATTCTCAAAATTTTGTTGTTTTCTTTTATTTGCTAAAATATCTTGGTTTTACATCCCATTACGTCTGAATCATAATTTGTTGTCACTCTAGAATAAATATTGTCGGCTATCTGAGATAATATCAGTAACTATCTTCCTTGGTGTTTGTCAAATTAATTGTATTGTTACGAGCTTGGGGTTAGAGACAATTAAAAACTGCCGAGTGAATTACCAAAATTGACACTTTAATTACAGAGCACTAACTACAACTTAAACCACACTAATAACAAAACGCAATTATAATACTGATCACTTTCGATAGTAGTTGTATCGCTTCGAAGTATTCGCTTGTATCTCCAATTCAACACTGACCCGGTCGCGGTCTATATCGACTCAGATTGTTCCAGAATCTTCTACTGTAGAAACTGCTAGAATGTTCGTGTACATACCGGTCCCGATTGACTAGGAGTCAATAGTTCTAGAAAGTTCTTCCATGGAAATTTCTAGAAGTACGAGTATCTTGACTCTCATAGTTCTGCTACTGGTAACTAGTGTCGCCATGTACCAGTCATTAATGGTGGCGCGCCACACTGCACCCTCCTAAGACATGCTCGTCTCGAGCATTATCGGGCCGATAATAACGCGCCAGTCGATCCACATGGACGATCTTAGGAGTACTTCTTGCACCTTTTTGTATCCGGTAGGTTACGTCATTGATCCTGTTACAATCCGGTACGGTCTGTACCATTTAGCTTGAAGCTTAGGAAATTTCCCTTTGCTGCGAACTGGATTGTGCAACCACACTAGTGAACCTTCGTCGAACGCTTTGTTGTTCATTTTGCGGTCATACCGGGTTTTCATCTTTTCAGACATTTGCTGGACCGTTTTTCTGACGTGCTCATAAATGTCATTCATTTTGTTCGGCAAGTCATTTGCATAATCGGTTATACTGCGTGGGGCATCTGGTGGTATTCCGGTGATCAGGTCTGCAGGCAGCCGTAATTCTCTTCCAAAGTATGCGAAAGCTGGTGTCACTGATGTACTTTCGTGAACAGCGATTCGATATAACAACAAAAACGGTTGTATATGCTTTTTCCAATCTCGTTGCCGATTTTCCACAACTTTTGCTATGTACCTCTCCAATGTATGATTAAATCGTTCTATCATTCCATCAGATTGTGGGTGGTAAGAAGTAGTTCCATTAGTAGCGTCCATCTTTCTGTTCGAATACAATCTGGGCGTCTACAAGGCAAGAGTGAATAGGCTTTTGTTACGATTAGACAGTGCGATTTACCATCTTAGGCTACATCACTACTTACCACCAGGTGGGATTATGGTCAAGCACTGGCTTATAATAAGTAAAAAAAAAGTTCTTGTTTTTTGAATACCCATAACTCGGCAAGTTTCCTGGAATATTTGAGACTCAAAATTCCTTCCACAGCCAGCCACAGTGATCAACTGTGAATCTCTAAAGGTACTCAAAACGACAGAAAACTTCATAAACTAGTTTATCTGCAACAGTTGAATCTTTTTGATTTGGAATAGCGAAGATTTCTGGCCACTTAGTGAAGTAATCCACCACAACCATAAAATACTTGTTACCACTTTCACTTTCCGGAAACGGCCCCGCAACGTCAAGGGCTATCCTCTCCCATGGTGACCCAACATTATACAATTTCAATGCACCTCTACTACGAGTCTGAGGTCGCTTTAAATTCGCACAACTTGTACATTTGCGACACCAGTCCTCGAAATCGTCACGACAGTGGACCCAGTAAAACCGTTCTTGGATCTTTAGTAGAGTTCTTTTAATTCCCAGATGGCCTCCTGAACAAACATTACGGTACAGCTGTAGAACATCCGGCACTTTAGCTTTAGGGACTACCATTTGCAAATGATAGCTGTCTCCCTGACCATTTTCTCATTTACGGTACAGGACTCCACCTGAATCAGCAAGCTGTCCTATTGGACCCAATAGCTTTTCGTGGTCGAACTCATCACTGAGACGTTGCTCCACTTGGGCTTAGGAGCACTGGCCTTCACCCATTCCAGAATAGAATAGAATAGAACAGAATAAAATAGAATAGAATAATTTTTTATTCAATATAGATCATATGTGTAATTCCTATTGAAAGTAATTTTTAACTTTATTACTGGTTCAAAAAAAACCTGTCCTGGGAAGAACCAACAAGAAACCCATCGAGACTTTTTTAAAAGTATATTTTACATTAATGGTTGTACAAACTATTTATAAAATTTATTTTCTGCAGTGATCTGATCTGAAAAAAAATTATCTATACAGCTCGCACTAGACCCAGCAATACATGTTGGTTCTAAGAATAAATTAACAAAATTATACAGAATAGAATAGAATAGAATATTTTTTATTCAATATACATTACATGTGTAATTCTTATTGAAAGTCATTTTTTACTTTACCACTGGTTCGAAAAAAACCCTCTGTCCTGGGAAGAACCAGCAAGAAACCCAGCGGGACTTTTTTTAAATAAATTTTACAATATAAATGATTACGAACTATTTACAAAATTTATTTTAGAAACTGCTTGGAAGCGATCACCTCATTCCCAGGGGTTATTATCAACCATGTATTCATTTATACTATAATAACCCTTTTTATACAGTTTCAGCTTAATAAAACATTTAAACTTGGTAATAGAGAGAACCTGTACACTTTCCGGGACCTTGTTGTAATAGCGTATACATTGCCCCAAGAATGAATTACTGACTCTGTGGAGTCGAGAAACTGGTATCACTAGCTTGTGTTTGTTCCTAGTGTTTACAGAATGTATATCACTTCTTTTACTAAAACTATCTTTGTTTTTGTGAACATACATTAAATTTTCGTAAATATACTGAGAGGCCAAAGTTAATATATTAATTTCTTTAAATTTATCTCTAAGAGACTCTCTCGGTTTTAGATTGTAAATAGCTCTAATGGCCCTCTTCTGTAAAACAAAAATAGTTTCTGAATCAGCCGCATTTCCCCATAGCAAAATCCCATAAGACATTATGCTATGAAAATAACTAAAATAAACTAATCTAGCTGTCTCGACACTAGTGAGACCTCTAATCTTTTTTACAGCATAGGCTGCAGAACTTAGTCTGCTTGCTAATTTGGATATATGGGGGCCCCACTGGAGCTTTGCGTCAAGAGTGATGCCAAGAAAAACAGTGGATACAACAGGGCTCAATTCCTCCCCATTTAAAAACACATTGGTATTCAGATTTTGAACATTCGTTGTTGTAAATTTAACACAATTAGTTTTATTTCCGTTCAAATGCAGATTATTAACGTTAAACCAATGCACTAATTTTGATATAGCATTATTCACTTCGTCACATTTAAATGATTGACGTTTAAGTTTAAAAATCAAGGAAGTATCATCAGCAAATAATACTATATCATGACTATCCCCTACAAGGTGAGGTAAGTTATTAATATACACCAGAAACAGGAATAGGCCGAGAATCGAGCCGAGATCGAGGTACACCCATTAGTACAGGTGACCTGGAAGAACTTTTACCATTGATAATAACCTTCTGTTTTCTATTACTTAAATATGAAATAATAAGTTTAAGCGCTGTGTTCTTGACACCATAGTACTGTAGCTTCCTGATTAATGTCTCATGGTGAACACAGTCGAAGGCCTTGGAAAGGTCACAAAATATACCCAAAGCATCCTCTGAATTCTCCCATGCACAAAAAATATGTTTAATAAACTCAACTCCAGCGTCAGTTGTCGAGCTACCCCTTGTAAAACCGAATTGATTATTATGTAGCAATTTATTAATATTAAAGAAACTTAACATCTGATCTAAAATAATTTTTTCAAAAATTTTACTTAATGTTGGTAGTACAGAAATTGGTCTAAAATTGGCGGGGTCTAATGTACTACCAGATTTAAATATAGGTATGACTTTACTATGTTTCATTAAATCAGGAAACACACCAGATTCGACGCTTATATTAAATATAGTGGCTAGATAAAGTGCTAATGTATCTATTACAGATAAAATAACTTTAACGGAAATCCCCCATAAGTCTGCCGTTTTCTTAACATCAATAGTTTTAAAATATTTAACGATATCTTTTGACAGTACCCTATGGAATTTAAAAGTATTTGAACAAGCCTTTACATTTTGTTTGAGCAATGATTCGGCGACAGTAGGAGAAGAATTTAATGATTTGTTGTCAAAAAAGGAACATCAGTAAAATGTTTCTCAAAAGCTATAGCAACTTCTTGATCAGATCGCGTTAAATTATTGTTAATATTCAATTGAAAATCCGAGTTGCGCGGTTTGACCTTGCCCGTTTCACTATTTATTATTCTCCAGGTCATTTTAATTTTGTCGGATGCAGTTTTAATTTTGTTGCTTAAATGTAAAGCCTTAGCAGTGGAGCACACTTTTTTAAATATTTTAGAATATGTTTTTACATAATCTCTAAATATAACACTACTATTATATGATCTTTCATCATAAAGCTCGTATAACCTTCGCCTACTTTTATAAATTCCTACTGTCGCCCATTCATTAAATGATTTGCAACTGTTAAAAGAGAAAGTTTTAGAAGTAAATATTCTACTAAATTCACAACGTATAATTTCAAATAATGTAGCATACAAATAATTAGCACTATTTTTAAACGAAAGTGATGGAAGTCTTTTTATTATATTACTTCTAAACCTCTCCAAGCGATGTTCATTTATTGGAACAAACACAACTTTCTTATTTTTCTGTTTTTTGTGTATGTGTGACAATTTAAACAATGAACTAAACTCAATACTGATGGAAGAAGTTTCAAGGAGATTGATGTTAAAGTCTCCAGATATTACAACAGACTTGTTCTGTTTACTAAGTTTGACCAACACTTCTTCCATAATCCTTTCAAAATAGTTATAAGTAGGTCATGGGGGTCTGTAAACACTTACAACAATGAGGCGTTCGAGCTCGACACAAGCCATTTCTACAGTTCGCTCAACAGAGAGGCTTACAATATCCTTATGTTCTTTATATAATAATGATTTATCTGCTAATACTAAGGAGCCAACACGTAAACTTTTTTCTCTATTGAAGGAACTGACCACCTGGTAATTTCTGAAATTAAACATATAATTATAATTTTTTAGCAAATGTTTAGTAATAAAAAGGATATATATGTTGTTACTATTTAAAAACAATTCAACTTCCAATTCTTTGCCCATCATGCCTTGTATATTTTGATGCACCAGGTGTAAACAATTATTATTACTTATTGGTGGGCTGCATTGTAAATTAATTAAACTCTTATCATTGTTGGACATTGCCTGTATCGTCACATTTACTAATTTTAATTAGTTGGAACTGATTTCAAAAGCAGTCTTGATAGCCAAAAACTTGGCTGCCCAAAATTTCTTTATTATATTATTAAATGAAATTTTCATTACAATTATATGTAAAATATAAATTATTATTACATATTAAATTATTCATTTGTAAATTTAAATTATGTCTCAGATTATTTTCCTGTGACAATCCCTGCATTAAGTTGTTCAATATATAATAATAACAATTATTGTTTACACTGCCTCTTCTACCAAAACAAATTATTATTGTACTCTTTGGGCAAAATTTAATAACTATAATTTTATTTAGGATGTCACTAAAAGATGCTACAGGCATACAGCAATTTGTAATTTTTTGTCCCTTTAAAGATGTATAGTTATGCCTAGATTTTTTCTCATCTCATCGCTATACACAATTATATTATTTTTGTTAATATTTGAGTTATTTTTTATTTTAATCTCCTCTGCTATGGCGTTGTTATAGAGTTTTGGTGAGAGTGTAATATTATCAGCACACACCGACTCTGAAGAAGCTGGTATTAAACGCTGACACTCACATTGATGTTTAACTAAGGAGTCAAAATGCTCCTCATTATATTTACATGTCTTTACCAGATTATCTAAAGCCAGCCTGTGTTCTTTTATTTCGTTTTGGGCTGATTTATGTTCACTGGACACAATTTGAAGGGAGTTAGTGATAAAATTTCTGACTTATGGCACTCTACGTCAGTCTTATAGCATTTTTTATGTTACCCACCTCAATTGAATACATCTTAAGTTCATATATCAATGCTTGCTTTTCTTTACATATCTTAACAAAATTTTTGGTATTGATCTTATTTTTATTAATTTTTGTATTTTCCTAATGTATTTATCAACTTTTATATACTCGTACTTCTTTAATTTGGTTACTGCAATTAATCCTTACTTTGTTTCCTGAAGTGGAAGAGTCGTCACCAGTCAAATGTATTGTTACAAGTTGCTGTAAAATTCTTGAAGTATTACATTGCACAAGCTCAGAGAACAGGCTTTGAGTCTGGGAGGTGTTAAGGTTATATACATATGTTTTAAATTGTGTTATTTGCTCATTAGCCTCATTCAACTGTAACTTCAATGCAGCAATAAACCTGAGATTTTCCTCATATTCCTTGCTGCATTGGTCAAACTCATTAACCGTTCCCTGTAGCTGATCTCTTTCTTTTATAACACTTGTGTAATGTGTATGTAACTTAACCATTATGGTTAAACCATATCACATTTGAATTATGTATTTTCGGAAATTTTGCTAACTATTTCTTTTTCATTATCATTCCTTTCCTTAAGCAACAGTTCACACTGCTCCTTGGACACCTTAAGTTCTTGGAGCGCAAGCTGGATGGTTTTCTATTTGGCGCGTTCTGGCGTTGCGAGTATTCATTTTACTATTTATTATAAATAATAAAATAAAACAAATATCGAAAACAGATGGAACAGAGTAAGCTCAAGTCGAGTTTTCGTTATTTTTTTACTATTTACAAATCTCAAATTAAATTATCATAAAATA